AGCTGGTAGTTTAAATAAATAAATAAAATTAAAAATGAATGTAAACATTTCCTTCAGGAAATGGGGCAGGTGTGTCAGAAAAAGTCTCAATATTTTCTTTTATTAACCATCCTCAACCTTTATTGGATGCTGCAAGAGGAAAAGTCATGAGACTGGTGTTAGGTATGAAAAGATCCCAAAACAACATCCAAGGACCTGTTTGACACTGAGTGTGGTACAGAGGCAGTCTGCTTTACATATGGCTTCCAGACAAACTGTTATTCACACCAACTGTGGTTTGTGAGCTCAACAGCTCAGCTATCTGCTCACACTGGAGCCCTAAATGATTAGAAATTTGACACAATATGTTTCAAATATAAAATGAACTATGTAAAAATAAAATTGTGAACTGATATCCTCATCATTAATCATAAAACTAAAGCTGGCAAAAATAATGCATGCAGGTTTTATTTTGAAACAAATGGGTTGTATCTCGCTGACATGTCTCACTTCCTGAAAGACTCATGGAATTTCTTTAACTTCATGGCAATCTGTATGCAGCGTCCATAACAAAAAGACTCCAATGCAGAGGCTGTCCAGAGCTCTGCATCCAGATCCACAGCACAGCTGGTGTGAAAGCTGTGATTAGGCTCAAGGATGTTTGATGTACGCTGAAGCTGTACGGAAACCGGACCCTATCCATTCCACATTTGGTATGAAAGAGGCTTTAGAGATTAACTCTGAGGTCAGAGTTGTGTCAGTTCTCAGCATTTATCGCTGTTTGAGCTAAAGTGGTCTCTAACGAGAAGGACCCCACTGTTAGAAGTAAATCACACAAAAAAACAGACTCGCTTTGACTCAAAAGTCTTTGGCAACCCGCAAAGCTTCTAGGGAAATGTCCTTTGGACTACTGGAGCTGTTTGTGGACCTCTATGTACACAGGCTGTTTTCTGTAATGGGACCACTTTGCTGCATCTGGACCAGGGTGTCTTAAATCTGTTCAGTGTCCAACAAGTTAAGATTATCAAGACTTCCTGTGAAATGTGCTGCCTGTAAGAAAGCTTGGTCTCAGTTGCAGGTCATGTTCTCCAAAAGGAGAGAGACTTAACATGCAGCTAGAAACATAAAAAGGATCTGAACATAAAACTGGAATATTCAGAAGAGACCTTCTATTACCCCCGATCCAAATCGGGCATTTTTAAATCCCTGACTTTTATTATTTTATTATGTGTCTTTTTATTGACTTTAATTATCTGCCTTGTTGTGCATTTTATTGTTGACCGTGTATTGTTTTATATTGTGTTTTTACTTTTTATTCTGTACAGCACTTTGGTCGGCTGCCATGCCGTTTTTAAATATGCTTTATAAATAAAGATGGTATGGTATGGTAAATCCTGTTGAACATCAGAAGGAGCTGAAATATCTGGAGAAGGAATCCCATTTGAGACAACTGGAGCAGTTTGCTCAAGAGGGGGTGGTGGATGGAAATACCTTTCAACAGTTGAGGGAGTCTCATGTTTTACCTTGAAAAGAGCAACAAAACATGAAGGGTACTATTATATTTGACCAGGCTAGTTTGATTGGTTATTGTTGGACACGATCAGTCTCTGTAATGAAACCGTGGAAGGTTTGAGGCCAACACTGATGTTTGAGTGACACATCTCTGCTGAAGTTCATCAAAAATCGTTATAGAGGATACAGACTTTTACAGAGAGGAAACAATACAAGCCAGTTTGAAGCTCCAGGTTTAAACTTTGGGGAAATGTGGTTGCTCTTGTGCTGAGCGAGCAATGTGTCAGCTCAAGGTTTTCCATGTTGGTTGGGGAGCAGGAGCTGTACAGGCCACCCTTACTCACTCAAGGTTTTCCACTGTGGTGAGTCTTCAGACATGCACGGCATCCAAAGAGTCTGTGGTCTCTGTTTACGGAGACAATGAAACACCGTCTGTTTTACCGCCGTTAGTTTAACTGACGAAGCAGACGTCAAACTGTTATTAGCATAAAAAGCGTGTGTGTCTGTTAAAGCTCAAGGACAATTTCACTATGATCTTTAGTTGAAACACAGCTAAGTAGAGTGATCGTAGCTGGCTGTGGGTTTGGGTTAATATGGGACTTGTGTTTGGGCTTGCCTTAGCTATTTAGTAAGTTCTTCTTCTTGTCAGTATCAGCTGGAAGAAAATCACACACTTCTCTGGGCTTATGATTCAAATACTCCCCACACAGCGTGCTGTGTTTTGTCAAAACTTGGCCCATGTTTGATTTAAGATCTTCTTTACAAACACCAAAGCTCTTAACTTCAGTTTGGTGTCAGATTGTGATATTAATAGAGTTGGGTTCAGTGCAGTGTTAAGTCATTTTTCCTGTGTTTGAAAGCCTAACTGACAGATTGTGAATTAAAGGTGGTTTCTGCTCTTGGTGGAGCGTGGACTGCTGGATGCATTAGTTTTACTAGCCTGTCACATTTCATCAGTCACACTAACATTATATCCTGTTTAAGACTTTGCAGAATTCGGAGATGGATGCTAAAGAAATAACCCCTTTGAAGGCTGCAGAGATTTTCTCTTCCACTTTGATAAGAAAAGTATTCTTCCATGCTTCTGCAACAATGTGTAAAAATGAATGAGACTTTCTGAGACAGATGAAACACAAAATACACGTGTTGCACATTCTAGGACATTAAACCATATTGTCTAAACATGTCTGCTGTTGCTGGAGGTGTGTCAAGTGAGAATAAACACTAATAAGCATTACCAATAATTATTGTTTTCTCTGTTTTAGTTGGATATGTTTAAAAGCAATTCATAAAATCAGCATTGCTCCTGCAAGTAATGCAGGAACAGCATTTCTTATTTAAACCTTTTTTCAATCCATGAAGCTTTGACTTCTTTTTAAATTATCTAATTATATTTTTTGCATAACAAGTAAAATCCTAGAAGATTTGGGCTAATCACTTTTGGCTGTGATTTGTCTGCGTGTCCAGTTTTGGTGCTGATAACACTTGCTGGACTTATGGTACAGTGTTAATAGCTATTGATAAGTCCATTCATGGGTCATTATTTAATACTGTAACGTGATGAAGGAGCTGCCGTTTTATGTTTGTTATGTTTGTTTTCCAAACATAAAACGACAGCAGCCCCTCATTTCACATTTTAGATGTTTTGCTTCTCACCAGATGACCAAGTTCCACGTTTTCCACTGTGGCTTTGTCCTGGATGACTGCTCCACACAGACTTCAGCCAACAATTAATGTTCAGTGTTGGCTTTCACATCAACCTGTTACATAAGTCACTTTTTGTCTTTATCATACTTCCCTAATGTATGAACATCCATCCATTGTCTTTACTCGCTTATCCACGCAGGCCCACGTGGGGCTGGTACCTATCTCCATCAGTCTCCAGGCAAGCAGGCAGGGTACATCTTGGACAGGTTGCTATTCAATCGCAAGGCAACACAGAGACACACAGAACAAACAACCATAGGCATACACTCACAATTAAGGAAGATTTAGAAAAACTAATCAACCTGACAGCCACATTTTTGGACTGTGGGAAGAAGCAGCAGTACCCAGAGAGAACCCACTTGTGCCCAAGGAGAGCATGCAAACTCCTTGCAGAAAGAGCCCGGGCCGGGATGTTGTCAAGGTTTGTGCTGAGCTAAACTGGTTTTGTTTTCCTCTGAGTGCTGTTTGCAGGTGGGCGTGTCCTGGAGAGCACAGCTGTTGCTGTTCAGCCCATCAGTGGTCAGGGGATTTAAGGAGCGGCGTGACAACTCACCAGTGCCGGATGATACTCAGGCCCTGTCCACACGTAGCCGGGGAATCTGCCAAAACGTAGATATTTTTCTACGTTTTGGCCTGTCATCCACACAAAAACGGAGTTTTTTCACACGAAAACGGATATTTTTAAAAACTCCGGCCAAAGTGAAGATCTGCGTTTTCTCCGTTTTGGGTGTCTGCGTGTGGACAGACAAAACCGGAGTTTTAAGGTCCGCAACGTCACTTTCCGCGACAAAAAAATGCTGACATCACGTGTGCGACCTGTGTTTACACTAGCCGACATCATGGAAGCCCTCAGAGCTGCCCTCTGTCACTACCCGATCCATCAGTTGTCCAAGCGCTTTTTGCTTGTTTGTTTTTGCAAGCGGAATTACTGCTCCTTGCGGAAGACCACAGACGAAGGACGAGGTTAAGAACGGGGGAAGTGCTGCCGCCTATAGGTCTGGCATGTCCTTAACAACGTATTTATCCGGGTACGTGCGGACAGAGTTTGTTTTTAAAACGCGATGGTGTGGATGCAAGTTTTTGGAGGGGCGGATATTCGTTTTTAAAAAACCCCGGCTACGTGTGGACTAGGCCTCAGTCTTGGGTAGTTCTAGCCGCTACCAGTCCTAGCGCTTGTCATCTCAGAATATATTTTTGTCTTTTTGTATCCTGACTCTGCGTTTATCTGATCTGTTCTCCTGACCCATCCAGATTTCCCTCACCTGCAAAGAACATCACACTTCAATAACTTTGATTCACTCAGCTTCTGCCACGTCATTCACCTCTGACCACCAGCTTTCCACCGCCCACCTGCTCACCTGGACACACCTGCAGCCAACTCTCTGTGTTCAACTCCCAGCCTTGGTCTCTCTATCTCCTGCTCAGCCAGACCCTGACCTGGCTCCCTCCTTGGCTTCCCAACTTCCTGAAGACCGTAAGCCTCCTCTGCCCTTTTGATTATCCTCTGCATTATTATCCAAAGACTAAAATCCATTCTCTCTCCAGAACACCCCGAAACTCCACAACCCTCTGGATCTCTGTTTTTTCTCTCCTCCACAAAGACTTTAATAAAATACATAGAAACGTTTACTTACCTCTGGTTCTGTGGTGATTCTTCATGTTGTGGGTCAAAACCTCCAACATGACAGACGTGAACCCAGGACCTCCTTGCTGCGACGCTAATCACTGGTCTATGTGCAGCCATATGTAGGAACATTTTTTTCCCATTTTATTGAAAAACACTAAAACAGAAATACAACAAGGAGAACTGTACATATTTTATTGCAATGTGATGTGGCATCATTTTTCATACATTATTTTACAAATATCATATGTACAAACTTAGTTGGATCTGTCGACATCAACAAACCAATACATTTATACAGTAATTACAGCGCCTGGTTTATGTAAGCAACTCGGTTTCAAATGTTTCATTAAAAAAAAAAGAAGGAAGAAAACGTACCTTTTTAAAATGTTAAGACACTTATTTCACCTTTTTTAGATAAAAATTTAGAAACTGGTAATATTTATGAATATTTGTTCTCTTTTTGCTTTAGTGGTGAATCAAGATTCACTGGGATTTTTGATGTGAATGAACCAAAATGTGAAAACTGGATTTAAAGTAAAATATATTCATAAAGCATTTAGCTTGAAATCAAAAGATAGTCACCGGATACATTTCCTGTGTCAGACTTGTTTGCTTGTGACTCACTGTATATATTTATAATAAATGAGGAACTATTTAAATGACAGCTTGAAATTCCTGTTAAAAAATCCTGAAGCATGTCTCAGATGTGTCAATAAGGAGTGTTTGGCATTTCTAAACTGCACTTTCAGCATCATCTTGTTGTGGTACCGCCTCATTTTAAAAACAATATTTAAATGCAGTACAGTATGGGTTCCTGTTCCTTAGAGGAAAGAGTTGGGGTTAGGACGAATCATCATGACTACTTTCTTTAGTGAATAGGCTCCTCCCCTGAACTCAGCCCAGTAGACCCCGTCCTGGTAGCGGCTGCGGTAGTGTCCTCCTCTGTACCAAACTCCATTCAGATTTGAATGAGCACATGAGTTGTACCACCAGCCTCCTTTCTGGTAGTGGGCACAGTTTCCTAAAGCAGATTTTAAAATAAAAGTCTGGCATAAACTCTTAACAAACATGAACACAATAGAATTCATTTTGTGTTTCTAGGGGATCTTACCTGTGTATGCATCGTGATCTCTATCTAGTGTTGTGAACTGTTTGCCATTGTGCCAGGTGAGAGAGTCCCCAGCGTTGCCATGATAGCGACCCACTCTTAATTTGTAGAAATCAGCTTCGGACTCCACTCTGAAGCTGGCGTACTCAGCAAACATCTTCCTGCCGCTCCAGTCCTCCAGTGTGATCAGCAGCTTGTAGGTTGCCTGATTTGTCAGCCAGTAGATGTTTTCCAGACCGAGCCAGTACTCACCATCGATGTTGCCAAACCCTTGCTGTGATAAGAAAACATTTTCAGAGCGATTAGGAAATCCTCTGAAAGTTTTGTGAAATTCCTTTAACAGTTAGTTTGGATGACCTGGAGGGAGTGATTCAGGGTCTCTGCTTGTGCTTTGGAGGTAGTTTTGTGTTTGTTTTTTTTTGTCAAGAAACATTATCACAAATTGACCATATGGGTCAGGTTTATTGCTGAAACAGCAGCAGGGTGAACTAGAAAGAAACTAAATGCTCGGGGTTCATTCTGATGACTTTGATCTGACTTGCCTCATTAGTTTGTGGTGCCTTGAATCGTTTGCTTTGATGAATCTAGCAAAACTAATATGAAGTTTGATGCGGTTTCAAGGTTTTTGCAAATGGAAATATCTCACTTGCTGTGCAAAACAAAGATGCAATCAAGGCCAAGTAAATGTTTCCATTCGGCTCCCTCCAGGGTTTTCCTACTCACGAGATAAAGAAAACTGTTTGAGTTCTGATGCAACATTAGGAAGATTAAATAATTTCCTTGGAACATGAAAAATCTTCACACAGTCAACTAGTGTGTTATTTTGGTTCTCATTTTTCAGTGTGAGGTCATTTCACAGGAGGTTTTTGCCAAAATCATTCAGAATGTAGCCCAGGGAGGTTCCACATAGGGGCACACTTGGTGCTTTAGCAGCTCGACAATAGTCTTTTCACTGGTTGTTCACATCTGGTTGGTGTCAAAACACCTTAAATAAGCTGCCACCTTCCCCTCTAACTAAAGGGTCCTTGATTGGGTGTGAAGTTGTTGCACCTTGTACGTCTCCCAGTTCCTAAAAAAGTTGACGGAGCCATCCACCCTCCTCTGGATAACAGTCCAGCCACCTGGATCGTGTCTTTGGTCACACCACACCTGCATGAGGCGGTTGGCGTTTTCTGGCTTCACCAGATACATGCTGCTCGCAGTGTGGCCATCTTCCAGAGCCTGCAGGCAATCCTTGAAGGGGCCTGAACAAGCAGAACGGGAATGGTTATTGGTTAGATAAGTTTCAATAACACAAAAAAGATCATATACCATGTCACAACCTCACTCTAACAGAGAACCGCCCTTTTTCAGGAGTTCTCTGCAACAGTGAACTTTATTTTGGCTGCTGCTCTCATAAGAAGAATGGTAGTCAGGCTGCACAGCCAAAAGCAACACTGGCAAAAGGGGCAAAGGGAGCCCTGACTACTGAGTGATGAAACTGTGACCAACATGTTTCCAGCTCCAGCGATTAACAGCTCAGGGCTGTTCTTTTAACTTATTTTTTTACTGATGTTACTGGTGCACGCAGACTTCCTTTTTATTCCAGGTGTTGCTTTTTAAGGTTTTCCATCATGCTTTGGGATGAACATAATTAAGACAAATATGTGTTTAATCCTTCAGATGTCTCCTGATGTGTTAAAATTACAATGTGGGGACTAGTTTATTTCACAATATAAATGGAGAATTACCACCACGTATTTTCCGAGAACAGGATCAATGCTACAGATGTTTTATACATTTTTGCATGAGGTCAGAATCATTATTAGATTAAAGGTGCAAATCTCTGAATCCTGCGTGCAATGGCCAATGTGATTTTTATCCTAAATTCTAAAAACAGATTTGGAAAAAGCAAAAGAAATAATTAGTTTTGAAAGTGTTCAGAGTTTCAAGAATTCACACTTTGTGATTTGCCAACTGGCATCAATTGCAAAGTGTTTTAAATACAGTGAGGATAAATGAGGGTAAATGCTATAACAAGGGCACCATAAGGTTTGCAAGGGATACAATATTAACCAGTCATGTCAGAGGCAAAAACCCCTATTATACTTACCCATGTTTTGTAGATTAATTTAGTTTTTATACATAATTTTCTCTGGATGATATCTTTTCTTGGCCGATGCTCAGCCATCCATTCCCTCTCAGGAATGTCTCTGTTGCGCAGATACAAGCCAGAGAGTTGCCTCGTTCTGTTCCGCCTGATAAAGTTTGCTTCTTTGGTGGAACATCTGACTGATTTGTGCCTAGTTTAACTGGAACAAATGACATCACTGATTATGGGTATCTTTTTCTGTTAGCACACACACACACACACACACACACACACACACACACACACACACACACACACACACACACACACACACACACACACACACACACACACACACACACACACACACACACACACACACTTTTTTTTCTTGCTGCATATTCTAATCGTTGCCTCTTTCGTATTGTATTCCTGCACGGTATGAAGGTCTCTGTTTGTTTTAAGGATTTGTGTAATTTCTGGGAGTGTTTGTTGCATGGCCGAGGGCAGGAAATTACTTGCCTACTTACAAGCAATCAATTCAAAGACTCCTATTCTCCTATGTTTGGTAAGCATTAGAGGGAAATGTCAGTGGAAAAAGGCCCCCTCCCATCATGGAAATGGTGTGTTCTATTTTCCCCCACCAGCTTCCACCGAACAGTAGCTTTCTAATGAAAAGAAAATTGATAGGCTATGCAAAACACCCTTATTGTCATTTTAAGTCTACTAATCTAGCTTCAAAAAGACCAATTGAAGTAGGGCAGCGAATGGTACTTCTAGGTAGAAACATGCATCTTGCTAATATTCTTTGGGCTTTTGGAGGGAGGGTAATTAGATGCTATCTTGCTGAAAAAGACAGAAAACAATGGCTTTTGTTGTCCTGTTGACCATAGCCATTTACACTGGGAAAGTTTGGTATATGGAATGGACTGGCGTACAATGTCCTGTGCTTTGGTTTGACATTTCTAACAATTAATTTGTTGCTTGTGACTATGGATCAAGACGAAACACTGTTAAATCTGTCAGAAGCACCCAAAAAAAAGTGTGTTTAGAGTTACCTGAAGGCTTGTCTGTGGTGGAGGGGCTGTGTGTACCAGTGGGCATTGGTTGGAGAAGAGACTTTTGGTCATTCTGGATCTCATTGCTGATTGGGTTGTTGTTACGTGGCAGGACCGGTGGTGGGTAAGGCTTGTTTAGAGGCGGGGAGGGAGGAGGTGGCTGAGGCCGTGGCTGTGAGACCGGAACATAACGATGAGGGGGCCGCGTCTGGCACTGCTCCTCCAGCATGGCAATAAGAGCAGACTGATTTGAGGCTAAAGAGGCTAAATGCTGGTATTTATGGTCAAGGTCTTTGTATCGACTGGTGAGCTGCTGCATTTCAGAGGTTTGGTTTAGGATCTTGTTCTCCATCTGTGCCAATTCCAGAGCATTGTCTCTTTTTCTGATAATCTCATGGAGAAGCTGCATGTAGAGCTGAGTGACCCTTGAGTTCATGTTTCTGCTCTCCTTCCTCAGAAGCTTCACTTCATTGACAATACCTCCATCCACCTCTACCAGTTGCTGTAAAGTCTCGATCTGCTTCTTCTGTTTCTGTAGCTCCACATTTAGCAGCTCTAACTCCTGTTTCTGGACACGGTTCTCCAGCATTGCCTCTGGTTCCTTAGAGTTCACACAAATGGCTCCAGTTACTTTTTGCTGAGGCACAATGAAGGTGTAGGAACATTTGCCCTGTGGCTGGTCAGCAGGAGCTCGTTTGCTCCTTCCAGCATAGAGAAACTCTCCTTCTATATCATCCTCACTACTCCCAAACACTTGGGTCTTGCTCCCTCCATGGTTAATGCTTCCCTGGCTCTGCTGGACACAACAGGCTAGTCCACACACCAGAAGGACCCCAAGCAGGACTCTTGAAGAGGGCTCCATGAGTTAGTGCCCAACCCACCAAAACCTGAAAGCATAAGAAAATGCAGTATATGAGCACATGGAGGCTGTAAATGTTCATATAGACCTACTTTTGTAGGAGTAAAGGACTTCAGAAAAAGTAGAGTTAAAATATCTTAGGGTCTTGTTCATGAGTTAGGATAAGATGGAATGTGAGACCAATAGGCAGGTTGGTGCTGCACCTGCAGCAATGCAGACATTGTAGCAATTGATCTACGTTCTAACCCTCACCTATGGTCACGAGCGTTGGGTAGGGACCGAAAGAATGAGATCTCGGATACAAGCGGCCAAATTCAGTTTTCTATGCAGGGTGTCTGGGCTAGAAATAGAGTGAGAGGCTCGATCATCTGGGAGGGGCTCGGAGTAGACCCGCTGCTCCTCCACATAGAGAGGAGCCAGTTTAGGTGGCTCGGGCATCTGATTAGGATGCCTTCTGGATGGTCAATTGGGAGGAAACCCCAGGGAAGACCCAGGACACGCTGGAGGGACTATGTTTCTCGGCTGGACATGAAACACCTTGGGATTCCCCCGGAGGAGCTTCTGATCCAAGTGACTGGGGAGAGGGGATCTGGGCCTTTATGCTTAGGCTGCTGGCCCTGTGACCTGATACCAGATATGCAGAGGAAAATGGATAAATGGGTGGAGTTAGACCATCGCTGACACCTTTCAACCCAGATTATAGCCCAGTTTATGATGCCATTATCTACCTAGAATAATTCGACATGGTTTATTTTATTGTACACTGTTTTAAGGACACAGGAAGTGTTTCTTATAGGTTTTAAACAAGCCCCCATAACACTGGTATGAAATTGAAGCCAACACGGAAGTGACTAATTTGCAGTTCCACCCTCATCCACTAGGGGCTGGTGTCAGAAGCGAGCAAATCCTCATTGACTCCCATGTTAAAAATATCAATTTAACAGCAGAAATAAACATGTTTACAGCCTGGTTCCAAAACATGTTTTAGGTTTAATAGATGTAGTTTACACTCATGACAACTCTGAGGGTGTGAATTTTTTTGTCACTCTTCTGTTTAAGTGTATCAAATGCCTAAAATTCGGAATATTTAATGAGCATCAGAGCCATGTGGCTGCAGAGCTAGCTTCGTGGAAAGGCCTGAGCCTCGGCCTCGCCTAAAAACTGTTCCGCAATTTTCTCTCAACTTAGACCATTAGTTGTAGCGTTTGTGTGTTCTTTTTGGATATTATTTGTGCAAATGATGGACAAAATGACTTGCTGTGGTATTAATTGCACTAATAGAGCGTCCAAGGAGTCTCCACTTCATTTTTTTCGGTAAGTAAAATTATATTTATGTATTTATGTTGATGATTTTAGGTCACTGCCGCTCTTGCACTAGCTGAGCTTAGATTGTAACATGTACTGTCCATGAATTTAGGGTAAAACCCAGTGCATTTAACATAATGCTGCATTTTAGAAAATGGGTTGAAATATAACATGTTGGTGGAGCTGGATTCCGACTTTTGGGATGGTCCCCTCCCCGCAGCTTGGCACATCTCTGATCGCAGCGGCGCCTGTCTGTTGCGCGGCTGCCAGCTAGTGGAGCTCTCGGGAGACCTCGGTGTTCTACCCGGTTTTACCCAGCGGTCAGCCCGGCGTATCTGTGACTCAGTTAACTCCGGTTGTAGCTAGGTTGCTACCTCTGGTAGCTTAGCTCCCACCTCCACGGTAGTTTTGGGTTAGCTTGTAGCTACATCGCTTCAGTTCGAAGGTATCGTCTTTGATCCCAGCCTTACAGCCCCACCCTCAGCTCCACCTCTCTTGCCTTATTTGGAATTGTCTGGGCTTGACGGATCCTGTGACACGGTCAAAATGGCGGTGGTGGCCACCTCCCATTTTGGCTTAAAAACTATTATTGGAGCATATGGAAACGAGTGGTTTTACTGATTTTAAACCATCATTCCATCATTCCACACATTAGATAAAAAATTCCTCCCGTTGATTGCTCTTAGATGATTTTTTAATGGAAGTGCTAGAGACCTAATCCAAAGGGTTGTATGTGATGTAAATGTTATAATCATCAGCGTTCTTCCTTAGTGTTAACCTCTGCCTCTGTAGCACCACTGATTTATTTAGCATGAACTTTTATCACCCTCTGGGTTGTAGCAACTTCCAGTCTGATGGCTGCAGCTCTACTGTGTAAGGTTATGTTGACAAAAATTACAAGTTAAGTATTGCATAAACATTGATGTCATTTTATTCCAGGGAGGACATGACTTTTAAGTTTCGTCAAGTTCAAATGAAACTTCATGTTGGGACCAGAGTGACTCATACTGTTGTATGTTTTCATCACAGCTGCCCCACTGCTGCAACTAGTTTCCCACTCCCATTATTTCAAAACCTGTTCATCCTTACACATGATTGTAACAAACCAGCAAAAGAAATAAATAAATAACATAATAGTTTCATTTACCAAAGGACAGATTCAGCTACTTTTGAAGTTGGAAACTTTAAGAACTCAAAAAGCACCAGCAAAAATGAGGTTTGGCCCCAAATGAAGCCCATAAAAGAAGTGCTGACTGCCACATTTCATGCAGAAAAGCTATAGGCCCTGCCTCAAGAAACAATCCAGGGTCAAATCCATTAATATCTGATAATGTGCATGGGTATTACGATTAAGTGAGAAAATACTTTTTATACAGTCATTAGTATTATTATTATTAGTTGAGCTTGTGTGTTCAGTTTCATCTGAGCTCATCTGCTGTAACCTAGAGGACAACAGTGATGGAAAAATGTATAATAGATTTGAATAAATATAAATATTTATGTGAACACATGTTTAGACTAGAAAATTTGTCAGTTTTCTTCAGCATGTTCTTAAATATGCATGTACATCATTACAGCCACCATCATAGTGTGATATATTCACCCATTCATTTGTTCATGCAGCTTTATGGGGCAGGTTTCTTCTTTCTTGTCAGTTCTGAGATTCATTTTCCAGACCAACAAAACATTTTCTTATCTAGACTCCCAGCTTACATTACGCCCTGTCGCTGCCTCTCAGTGGCTCAGATTATGAATAATCAACTCGACCACTTGAGTCCATAATTACAACTTATCTGCTTTACTGTCATATTGTTTTAATTGCAGATAAAAAAAATCTGTTATTTTTAGACACATTTTGGTGCAACTCTGCAATTGTTAAGTGGACATGTCGGCGTGACTTTGTGGTCCTTGGGTCTGCAGCCGTGTACTGTTGTGGAATTCACTCGGGTGGAGGCGGGGTTTGATTGAATCCAATCAATCCATGGCTCACAAAAGTAATATACTGTATTAAATAGTGACATCTCAATAGTGCAAACAGTAATATTTTATGTGTCTTTTATTGTTCTGGAAAGTGTAAAATGCCACAATACAGGTTTTTTGTTATTCCTGTTATTATTTTTCTTCAAACTATTCTCTTAAGTGTTGGTGCTGTTGTAACAACTTTGGGATCAATAAAGTTTATTCTATTCTATTCTATTCTATTCTATTCTATTCTATTCTATTCTATTCTATTCTATTCTATTCTATTCTACTCTATTCTATTCTATTCTTTAATAATCACAATGAACAGCCAGGCAAGAACACTGAGCACATAAATAGGAACTTGTCAGGCTGAAGCTTTAGGGCTACTAAAACACTAGATCTGGGACTTATTATGTCAGGAAATATACTTGTGTGTGATGAATAACTTATATGGATCAGACATGATATGCTGGCTACACATTTCTTTTTCCTGCTGACACAAAGTTTAACTCATGGAACATTACCTTTGAGCCTGGCATGTGGAAATCAGGCCTTTCTTATCAAATGTAGCATGCTCTGTTTGAATCGTAGGAAAAACAATAATTCTGTCTAACAATGTGCTGATTTCTCTCATCAGTGGCATTGTTGTTAGGAGAGTGTTTGGCTTGGTTTGCTTTCCTGGCTCTTTTCTTTGGGCAGCTGCCACGGCTGATCCTTTAACACACCAACACTATTTGTTCACCGGCCAGGGCATCTTTGCTTATGGAAAAACTGAGACAGGAGCAGATGATGCTATTCAACATGAAGTTTTAAATATGGATTGTGTTGCGTCAGGTCTGTCTACATCTCCTTCCAAATGAATGATACATATTACAGTTTGATTTTGTATGATAAGTGTAATTTGTATATATCCCTGTGGGATTATGAAAAACAGGTGGTGTTGTTTAACATCGCCGCTGTTGGATTCAGTTACGACCCTTGATTTTATAAAAGATATGAGCCAGTTTAGATTTTCATCTCTTTAGTAGGAAGACTTTTAAACTAAATCCATCAAATACTCAATATTTAAGCTTCAAACATGTCCCTCTTTTTTAACCAAAAGAATAATTGCCGGCACATTTTGAAGAGTTTTATGAAGTTGGAAAGATGACACAAAGTCTCATTTCTAATATGGAGAAAAACCTTGCTGTGAAACTAAAATTAAGCCAGAATGTGGATGGTTTTTGCAGAGTTTCAGAGGTCTTCAGATGCATATTAAAAGTACCATGAGCTCCAAAAAAGTTGACTTATTATCATGATGGCAGCATATAAGTAGATGACCAGGTCGTTCATACACCAGCGAGCACAAAGGATTTAAAGCAGAGCCTGACAGAAAACCCTCATGTCCATGATGTCTTAGTTAATGCAGTCAGTGTTGTGCTAGCATGATGTGATAATCTGGTGCATGTCTACCTTCTAAACTTGTAGTGTGCTGTTCTCCAGAAGCATGCTTGAGTAGAGTCATGGTTCTGCATACTATCATCAGTAAATGTCATGCAAACGATCATGCTGGCATCCGTGAATAAGCAGTGGTGAGTGCACAGGGGAGCATCTTGAACATGCACAAATTGCAAAATACACCTATTTGCCCGTTACTAATGTTACTAATGGTTTCCTATTTTGTTGTGACCCCTTCTAATCCTACCAGGACTTGTAGGTTAGTCCACTGTTATTGGAGGCTTGAGAATAACAAGACCATTGACTTCTGGTGTGCATGTTAGGCACAGAGGTTTCCTCTGTAACACCTCTTCAGACTCAAAAGGACTCTGTGGCACATATAAGTATACAAATACAGGCCATATTGCTCTATAGTACCTGTGTGAGAAAGTACCTCCATCTTAAATACTTTTTATAGGCAGTCTACGGTGAAAGGGTATGCACAAATGGTAAAAAAAAAAAAAGATGTATGAAATACTTTTGCCTTAATCCAGGCGCACAGCCAGCACATTAAATTAAGGATTTGGAGAAGAGAAATGTAGTGCATTTCAAGAGCGTGACCCATTACACAATCAGTCCCTCTGCTTCTATCTGAGGGTGTAAACATTGTTTTTTTACAGTAAAAACTTACAATAAAATGTCTCATGTAAAATCTTTTTCCTTAATAGAAAAATATAAATAAATCAATAAAAATCTGATTGTTTCTTGTTTGTTTTGAAAAACAGTCCCTAAAATCCTTCCTCCGCTGAGATGTAATTTTTCTTGAAAACGTTTTTTTCGGTTTGGCATGAAGCAATTATTTTTTGCCGTCAGTGTTTGTAATAATTATGAAACTCCTGACGAGCCTGCACACTATGATGTCACTGTTGCAAATGACTGACATTGATTTTATACTACCCCAATTATAGCTAGTAACCACCTAAATACTCGTTAGGAGTCATAGATTTGCCAAAAAATCACTAACAATAACACACAAATAAGCGTTCACCAAGACAATTAAAGCAGTTCTGAGCCTGCTCATGGTAATGTGTTGATGAGAGCACTTGGCTTGTGGCTCTTGCGGTTTCTCCCCTGGATTATGAGCCTGTTTCAACAAAAATCCCCCCCCCCCCCGACGAGGAGTCCCGTTTTGGACATTGTTAGCCTGGAATCTTCTGCTCTAGGCTTTGCTGCACTTCAAAGCTGAGGGGAAACTGTTTGCAGCTTGTGATGAAATGTGTATGTGTGTGTGTGGTGTGTGCATGTCTGTGAGTGCTTTTTCTTTGTGTTGTTTTCAAATCACGACACTTGCTGGCTCTGTCTCCGAGGGACTGTGAAAACCCATCTGCCCCAGCAGAGACAGCCTGTTATTAACCCATCCAGAGTTTGCCAGGGGGTGAACAACAGAAAACCTTCACCACCTTCTTTGTTCCAAATAAGCACTATTGCTCTTTGCTGAAAAAGCTGCTACTGACCGGTCAATAGCTGCAGTGATTAACTGGTGTAGACAAGTCACACACAACTGGTCTGTTTACTGCAGGAAGACTAAATGACGCACACTAAATTGGTCCTAATCACAGAGCAGGTAGGCCCATTAAGGTAATTTCTTTAAGGAAACATGTATGTAGTTCAAATAACCCAAACGTGTCTGAAGCTGGCTTTTGTATGACCTTCCTCAACACTCTCTCTTTATTCTGCTCTTCCCACCTATTCCACCTTCCTCAGGATCCACTGATTTCCCTCTTTCCTATTCACTCTCTCTCTTTCTTAACATTTTTTAAATCACAATTGTCAATTTTTTGCTCATTTTAGATATATATTTTAACCATTTTCTAAATTATTTTAAATATTTTTCCATTTTTTGTTTTTGTGAAGCGCCTCGTGATTTTTATCTTGAGAGGCGTTATAGAAATGATATTTTCTTCTTCTTCTTGGATCGCTTAGAGTCCTTGCTTGGTCTTTTGGGTACTATACTGGACTATATGCTTATATATGGCAAATAGATCATTCAGTGTGCAGATGGGAGACTGTGCCTTCCTCTGTCTTCCGTTGAAATAGGGGATGCCACAGGGTTCTGTCCTGGGGTCCCTCCTATTTCCCAATGACTTCTCCCTTTGGGAAAGATTTTTGAGTGGTATGGCATCAGTTATTATATCTATGCTGATGACTGTCAGCTCTACTTGGTGATGAATGTGTCAAGCATGGATCTACTAATTGCAAACTGTCTCTAATGTGAAGAAGTGGTTAACTGCCAAATTCCTCAAACATAACGAGTCAAAGACTGAGTCAATACTTTTCAACCCTAGAAACCTTTGTCTTATATCGTCTGACCAAAATCTTCCAAGTTTCGACCTTAAACAGTGTGTCACCAGCCTTGGGGTGAAATTGAATGCTGTATTTTTTTGTGGTCCCTCAGATAAATGCAGTTGTGAAATCATGTTTCTTTCAACTACACCATTTAGCCAAAAACCTATTCTGAAACGGTCCCATTTAGAATTTGTAATTCACATCTTTATCACCTCTCGCTTGGACCATGCAAACTTACTCCTCATTGGCACCCCTGTTACGACCCTGAACTGGATGCAGCTGGTACAAAATACTGCTGCTAGGTTCTTAACAAACACAAAGATATCACCCAGGTTCTGGCGGCACTTCATTGGTTACCCGTGACTTTCAGGGTGTGATTTAAGATCCTGCTCTTTGTATTTAAAGCATTGAATGGTCTTGCACCAACCTACCTGTCTGATCTGCTCACACCCTATGTTCGCTCATTGAGATCAGCTGACCGCTAGCTACTCTGCACTCCAACCATGAACTATAAAGCAAGGGGGGAGCAGGCCTTTTGTGTGTTGCCACCGTCCTCTGGAATGCACTACCCTTCACATTTTGATAGTCACATCAAGTTATGACTGAAGAGCCACTTATAGGATTTGACTTTTGGACAATGACTCCTTTTAATGTCTGTTTATATTTATTGTTTATCTCTCAAAGTTTTTATAGGTTGTTTTATCTGTATTTATTGACTGTTTTTATCTGTTTTTGAACAATCTTTGTATGATTGTTGCCTGCGCAGCGCTTTGGTCAGCTTGCATGCCATTTTGAAATGCACTCATGTCTCAAAGACAGCCGGATTTTAAATTGTCCAAAGTTGCCACCAAAGCCATTTCAAACCAGTCCTATTCCTGAGCTGGTGCCATATTTACTGATTTTGCAAAGTTACAGCTTTGCCATTGTTGTAAAAAAATAATAATAACTGCTCTGCTGTAATGGTGCTGAGACCCATTCAATGTCCTTCTACAAACAGAGTGCTGTGATTGGCCGAGTTTAAACTTAAGAGGAGTCAACAGTAGACCTGCAGAGGCTATGACAGGTCATGGCTAGACCAACCTGCAGAGGACATTTTTACTACTGCTAAAAGATATTCTGACAACCCAATCCAGAATCATAGCGAAACACGGTTGGCCTGAACCCAGAGGTCCTACATGGCAATAATCCGCTTTCATCTTTATTGCACCCAGACTAGCCTTGGCTCGTGATTTTGGATTTTGGCTAATCATGTCCAAGCTGAAGTCATTCTTAGAGCATTTCTACAACAGGTGAGGCACTAATGGTTCATTACCTTTACTCAGAAGCCCTCTTCAAAAGTGATGAACTATCACTTCAAAGGCTGCTTCACACCAAAATGTTTTGGTTAAACTGTCTTCAGGTGATTTGTCTGTGTTTATACAACTCTCCACTGTGGGTTTTCGAGAGGCTCCTGCAGTGTGTGTGTGTGTGTGTGTGTGTGTGTGTGTGTGTGTGTGTGTGTGTGTGTGTGTGTGTGTGTCATGCTCAGCACATGTTAATTAGAAGGTGGGTAGGTTTGCTCAGACTGGCTCATATCATGCACCCCAGCTTCTTCTCATTTCTGCCCGAGCATGGCATTCCTTGCATTCTTCACCTCATTAGAGCGAGCTGCCATACTCACATGGAGAGTCAGTGGCAATGGCAGACAGACCACTACCCAGCCCCCTTCTGTCCCCGTCGTACCTATGAGACACATCTACTGACCCAGTTCTTCCTGGTGTCCCACTTTCTGTGTGAATGCTTCATAATCACATCATCAGCAGCAGGAGATCCCAACACGACCCACTCCTTTGCCAAAAACAGAAGTGGACAATTTTTGGGACCAGCTCTGTGCTGCATGTTCAGATTAGTGCCAGCTCTGCTGAAAGCAGTGTCCCACATGACACCCAGTACGCGTTGGATCAGAGTCAAAGTCAATTTGCTCACAGTAATCCCCTCCATTAGTTTACCGTAAGGGTGAAACATGATAAATCTCAGCCACTTCCTCAAATTATTGCTTAAGTTTGTCCAAGTTCAAGTTTGTGTCAAATCTTTTCTCTTTTACCATGAGGATGTCTTCCTATGCAGCTTGCATGTGTGCACAGATAGGAAGGCAGGGGATATGGGGGGATTGTTACAATAAGTACCATCATTGTACCGCTAAACCCTCTTATCCAAACGCCACTCTGGCAACAGAAACAAAGACGGGATTGAGCTGCCGGCGTCCTTGTCCTCCTGCTTCCAGGGGAACATCCTGAAGCTGCTGTCTGCATGCCATGGGAAGGTAACTTTTTTGTTTCCTTATGAGACATGAATTGTTTCTTATTGATGATTCAAATAAATTATCATCTCTGGATCTTACTGAATATTACTCTTGCTTTACAATGTGTCTTTGTTCTTTGACTTGACAAACTTCACATCTACTTTCTACCAACCATGTGAGCTAAATTAACCTGACGCGGCCAAATGCATTAATCAGAATCAGACCAGCTCCTCATTGTAAAGCAGAATAAGCCTCTGGCACCAAACACTGAGTCAGATAGCAGATGCTGCATGACAAGTGGTGAATGTGAGATGACTCAAAGTCTTTGTGAGGAGTTAGCTTCTGCGTGAGCAGCCAAAGAGTGACTTCATACAGACTAATGCCAATCTAAGAGCACAGCATTGTCTATATTACTGACAGAAGACATGTTTTTTTACTTGGTAAGAATATTTGTTAGAAGCATAGTTTAGCTATTATTTGACACTATTTAATTTACATTCATTGTCTGGTAAATAAAATAATATATAAGGTAATATAATGCTACTTCATGCTTACAAGATAACTTTGACGAGACTCCTTTAGATGCCTTGCCCTCCCGCCAGAGCTGTTGGAAGTTTCTCTTGGTGAAAAGTCATCCCAGGTGGGAAAGTTGCGTTTTCCTTTCCTGTCCACACACTCAATTTTTTTATCACTTCAGTCCATTCCAACAGCAGAGAAGCAGTAGTGCTTTAAAATGTTACTAAAGGTGTCATTTGCCCAACAGAAGCCCCAATCTCCCAGAAAACTGCTCTGAGTTGTTCCAAAATCCTCCTGAAAAGTCTGTGAGGAGACAAGTGGTACCTTTAGTTTGATGGTGGAGGTAATTTCCCAGTAACGCGTGTTAGTCCAGGGCTGGTTGTGGACTGCCTGTGGCCCGTTAGGGGAAGACTGTCACTTTTCTGCGGGCTGAATCCATCACTTCTGCTTCACAGCTCTTAGAGGCTGTCTCTCTCAGCTGCACCTCTCTCACTCTGGCTTCCCTCCTTGGTGCTTTAAATGATGAAAAATGCTCTCAGAGCCCCCCAGCCCCCATCCTGAAAATGAACACAGTCTTCTTGAAAGCAGCAGCCGTCTATTTTCACCCCTCCTCCTCCTCATGGCACAAAAGGCATCCACAGGCGCAACACACGTTCCTCCTCACACACACACACACACACACACACACACACACACACACACACACACACACACCTCAGCTCATATTTCTAACCCCCTGCCCCCTTGCCACTGGTTCACTATTTCTGTCCAGGGCTGTATTTTTTGTTTTTTTTTTAGGGGGGGGGGTTGAGGACAGCAGTGGTGTCATACTGATCAGCTCCTAATTAGTGTGCCCTTTTTCCCCGTGAGGGAGGAGGACAGATGGGATGGAAGCAGATCCAGGTGTTTTCCCCACACCCAGCGCTGTAACTGTTGGCCTGGAGGTTATAAACTGTGGGTGAAACAGCTCAAACAGGCTGGATCTCAGCATTTAAAACTACAACTTGCAAGGAGTGGATTGCATCATTACTTTGACGTCTTTGTGTCCATGTGTTTTAGTGGACAAGAGGATATGAAACACGTCAGTGTTAATGTGGAGAACTGACATCGATGCAAGCGATAAACGTATTTCTCACGCAAAGTCTTGGCTCTTTGTACTGTTGTCTGTCTCTTTGTTTTGTATCCTGTTCATAATAATGAAGCAAGGGGTGGGTTGGGGGGGGGGGGGGGGGGGGGCATTCTACTGTCTTGTCTTTTTATTTATTTATTCTTTGTATTTTCTCACACATTCCCACTCAGTGTACTGGCTGTAAAAACATCAGAAAGCTAAATTAAAGGATAGTTTTAGCAGCTGTTATGATGTGTTTTTAATCAGTTGCCTTGTTGTTGAAATGAAACATCTTTTGTCCAGCCAATAGTAGCACCAGATGGGATCTCGTACTCAGATTTTTTTATTCGCCATATGAAATTATCATCCGTTTTGCCACACCCAAAAGAGTAATCTTTTCATGCTGCAGTTTATTACCCAGTATGTGTCGAATGTTTGCACAAACATTTGCCCTTATGTTTTTTTCTCCTGTGGTTTTGTGTTAAATAAAATTTAAAGGTTTTTCCTGAGGAGCTTGTTTTACGATAGACAGGAAGTGTGAATCTCCCTTATAGAGAATACAGATGGGGAATGACTTTTATGTGTTTACTACTGTGTTGTACTAAGTCTTAAAGGTTGCATATAAAAAAGAACGAGGAAGAAATTAGCAGTTTCTGCTACACGACTTGAGTTAGACAACAGGCATTTCCGTTTGCTGCTTGTCTTTAAAGATGGTTAGAGTTTTAAATGAAGGCGTGTGAGTGGTTTGAACATTTATAGCTGATGACTTGCAGCTGAATGCATTTTTTTTTAGAAATCCATTGCAACCTCTTAACCCTCCCACTGTCCTAATGGATGACGTTGACCATTGAGCAGGGTTGATGGTTTATCCCTTGAGGTCCACGTGACAGGGGTGAGGTGGTGCTCACTCCTCACCCCTGTCACATGGACCCAAGGGATAAACCATCAACCCTGCTCAATGGTCAACTTTCCTCACGGGGTCACCCATTAGGACAGTGGGAGGGTTAAAGAAAATTATATGCATGATTATGAAACCAAAGTTCAGAGGTGAGCCGTCAGACTGGTTCTAGATAGTAGGGAGACAACAGCAGGTCAAACAACCACTGATTCCCATCAAGGTCTGCAAAATAGCATTTTGAAGCTTGATCAGATGGGCTCCAGCAGCAGAAGACCACACCAGATGTCTCTCCTGTCAGCTAAGAATATGAAGCTGAGACTACATTCACACAGGACCACCAGATCTGGACCAGAAGAGACTGGAAAAACCTTTGCTGGTCTGATAATTCTGGATTACAGCTGCAACATTCAGATGATCGTGTCAGAATTTAGTGTCACCAACATGCAAGCATGGATCCATCACGCCCAGTGCTTCAAGCTTCTGGTGGTATGATGCTGGGGGTTGTTCTTGTCCCACATTGGACCCCTTACCTGAATCTGTTTGAAACATCACAGCACCTGATCATTGTTGCTGACCATGTCCATCTCTTTATGACCACATGGACCCATCTTCTGATGGCATCTTCCAGTAGGATAATGCACCATGTCACAAAGCTCAGATCATCTCTAACTGATTTCTAGAACATGTTCATAAGTTCACTGGACTCCAACAGCCTCCACAGTCACGATGCAGTGTGATAAGGATACTTTAGTGTTTTTGTCGGAATAATGGGGGTGATGACATTAGGAATGAAGACAACATAGCTGTTCAAACATATATCTGGAGTTGTGTAGACGGGTCTGATCAGTCCCCATTTATTTTCTCTTTCGTCAGTGAAATCCTCGGTGCCTTGTTCTGTAACATTACTGTGAGCCAAAGCCAAAAGCTAACTGGAGTTTTAATGTTTACAGCAAACATCTTTTTAACCACAGTGGCTGAGACGATATTACATAACAGATTATTTTCATTTTCCAGCTATGTGTGATTCAGTTTTTAAAAGCAGACAGCTGCTTTTTTGTTCCCTTGTCAGTTTTAGTGAATGGAATCATTTCAGCACTTCCCTAGAGAATCAGCGAAGAACGTTCAACTGGCTTTAAGAAATGAAATTCCTGGCAGATGACCTGTAAGATGTGGACAAATTAGTTTCATAACATCCAACGTAAAAAAAATTGGACATTCACTGTAATCAAATACTTGAAAAAGATCTTTGATCAAAGATGTGAGTAAACTACAGCTTCCATACGTTTCTTTTGTCCACATGTGGATGAAACTATTTAGATATATTATGTGTTATTCCAAACCAGTGTGTTGGTGCAGGGATTAATCTTCTTCTCATATTTTAACAGTCAGCAGGTGGAAAACCACCAGTTCATAGAAATGCTAAAGGGAAAACGTTACTCCTATATTGAAATAGCAACCAATGGGTGTATTTAAAAGCTGTTTTAGCGTCACATGGGGGAGATTATCAGCTTCAGCTTGGAAATGTTTCACAGATGTTTAAAAAGTGAGAGACCTGCCTGGTTGCTTGACAGTCTTTTGGGTTTAGAAGCAGAAAAGTTTGTGTTATGAGTGTGACCTGCATGAGGTTTGTTGTAATGTTTCATTCATTACAGTATGTGTTTGGTTTAGGGTTATGTAACTTCTTTGGAAACTAATGAAATTTAGTTTTGCATTTTGCCAGATAATTACAACAACGTTTACAAAGCAATGACAGAGGCAGACATGCATGCAGTTTGTTAAAGTCAAGCCATCAATTAATTTTTATGTTTCACATATTAAAATATGTTATGAAAAAGATTGTTGTGCACGCCCCTAGATACAGTCTCGTGTATTTTTCCATGTGCGCAGGTTGGGACAGCATGCTTCCTTGAGGGAAAAACATGACGTCGTTTAACAAAATAAATCCCTGTTCAGACAACAGGATGCAAAAATCCCTCAGTGAACAATGAAATAGTTTTCATTATACAGTTAAAGCATGACAATAGCAAATATCCAAAACTATTTATGTATTTTTTTTATTATTAATGTAATGAATCAATAGAGGGTAAATTGGATAAAATAAATTGCTTAAGAGCTATTTATTTTTATTGTCATTACTTGTGACCCACAGCTGAGATAATCAATTATAAGATATCACCTGCTTGGTCTTTAAGATGATTAGGCAGAAGATTCTAAGACTCTTTGTTTATTCAGGGACTGTCATCACTTCGTTTAGGATTCAAGAACCAGTCAGGTTTGCAAACAAATAATAATTTATTTTACAAACAATTTAAGACTTGACAAATGGTTTAAACTATTATTTACTGTGAGTGGATGCAAACTAAGAGATGGGTGTCTGAAACTAGGTGTGAATATAGTATTTCAGAGTCGGTATCTTGAGAAAGCTGAATCCTGGATGGAGGAAATTTGGTTTGCAAGTAAGCTACAAGCTGTTATTTATCAAACTGCATACAGATGCTATCTGTGTGTCTACGTTACCCATGGAGGCACCCTCTTGACGGATCCGAAAGTCAGAGGGGGTCGGATGACCGAGGTACCGTCCTTTCAGTCCTGGAGATGTGTCTCAGGTCACGCCAGATGGATGGAAACCACAGGTCTTGGACTCTTAAGGAGTCTGAACAAATCAGCTTTTCTGCAGGAAAAGACTATCTTGTTGTTCGGCTTCGCAGGTGCAAAAGCTTAAGATTTTGACTGTGTCAAAATCCTTCTGGTGAAAGAGGTTTGCTCAGACAGCCATTCTAAGCTTCTCTTTCTCTGTCTGTCTGACTTTCTGAGACTGAGAGTGAAGCTCTTTTTAAGTCCTGGTGTTATCTCAGAAGTTGCCCAAGCATCTCAGAACACAGTCTCCGATTCTGAACTCTGAAATGTGGGACGATGTTACTTATGTGTCATGTCTTTATCTTATCCTTACTCTGTCTGCAAGTGTGATGACCTAATCCAGTAAACATACTTAGTATCATTGAAACAGATTCATGAAACATTTAATCATTTATAATAATTCTTGGCAATATTTAGTGATTATTAATTATAAAATCTTAGCTATACGATCTTCTTTTCTTCAATGATTATTTAGATTTATAAATTACTTTAGTTATGAAATGTTCTTTTCTTCTGGGAATAAAAATTTCTCTGATACAGTTCTCTTGTGAAGGATCCTGGAAAAGAATGCAACTGTCCTCTTTCATTATCTGATGAAGCTTCAGTTCAGCTGATGAAGTCATCTGATTAAAGAGCCTGCGTGCAGACATTCCATCTCCTGTCAGGGTAAAATACAGCAGAACGCATGTAGCCAGGGTAATTTGCTCTGGCCGTGCGTATGAACTGTGGGATCTCAAAAGCAGTCCATTTGGTGACGTTACATTAAGAATCTGGTAAATCTGGAAGTTTTGACGCATATTTAAAAAGTGAAAAAGTACATGAGCCTTCTATGAGTCTGGTATTGATCTCAGTTGAAAAAAGTAATCTACTTTTCATCCAGTAGTTGCATTTTTCTGCAAATATTCATGTAGATTTTTATTTTATTTTTATTTTTTGGTGGGG